CTTCCTTCCTTCCTTCCTTCCTTCTTTCTGTCAAGTTCTCTCCATTCCAAATAGGAAGACATTTGCTAATTTTGGGTAATTCTTATATAAAATGAACTGAAAGAACATTCTCTCTGTGTCCAGGGTTTCACTTATGGCAATGAAGCCACAATGAAACCTTTGACTATCGGTTTACCCCACCTACTCACTTCAAAGGAGAGGTAAGAGGGAGTTATTGGATTTAAATAGGCAACAACTTCATTAATTGCAAAGGAGGATTTCCAAGAGAAAACATGCAGTCCTTTTTGAATTTGTTTACCATTCTAACCTAATTCATCTTTCAATGCAAGCCCCCACCACACTGAAGAGAGAAAATGAAATCTTTATTAGCCTGCAGGCCAAAATATCCCGTCCCAGGAGCGAAGACAAGCCATGGGTCTTCTTCCAGCTGTAGCACTCTTATGATTTTGTACAAATCTCAAGCACATCCTGAGTTAAGTTCTGTCCCCATGCCCTATAGCAGTGGTTTTCAACCTTGGGTCCCCAAATGTTATCGCACTGCAACTCCCAGAAATCCTGGCCGCCACAGCTAGTAGTGAAGGCTTCTGGGAGTTGCAATGCAGAAACCTACCCCAAGAAATTCCACAGTGCACTTAAAACTAGTATGACATAGTTGGAGGAAAACCTCAGGAAATGTCCACTCTAGGTTAGAATGGTAAACAAATTTGCAGTTTTGCTTTTATTGCAATTTTCCAAATCCATTTGCATGTTCCCCCCGACTTTGTTTTAGATTGCAAGAAATATGTACATTTTAACACATTTTCTTAATGTACATATTAATTTCGGGACTTCAGATAGTGAATATATTTTCCCTCAATGAGAAGAACACATTTTCGTATCACATCTCACCTCTCTCCATATTTGGTTTACTCCTTCATGTTTAATATCAAAATGATCACTTCTCTGTCATTTTTTTAACAACAAATTTCAGGGTATGTGAAATAGCAACTTTCATCAGTACTGCCGAGTCCAATGACATTTTTTTCCATCCTTAATTGAGGCAAGGATGGATAGACGAAAGGATCCTAACAAATTCTAGTGCCTATCAAAAGGTGCTGTATGTTATATCCACTGTCCGTACAAAATTTGGCATGTCAAGTCTATGGAAACAATGATGGTCAAAAACCATGATCAGTGAGTGTGGGAAGGATAAAGGGATTGAAGACCATTTATTGATTTGAATTAGCTGACTACACAGCTGATAGGTTCTAGTACAAGGATATACACACTGCTGATTGGAAAACATGGAATCCCACCTAACCGAGTTAGACAGATCTCGGTTAGGTGGGAAAATATCCTAACTTAATCTAAAAAAAAGTTCTGGTTGTTTAATGTCATAATTGGATCAAAGGTTAAAATGAGAGCTTTTGAGTTCTGTACAGTTCTTAAGGCACATGGTGGGAAAATATCCTAACTTAATCTAAAAAATAGTTCTGGTTGTTTAATGTCATAACTGGATCAAAGGTTAAAATGAGAGCTGAGTTCTGTACAGTTCTTAAGGCACATAGTCCAAAAACTGAGCCTGCAGAGGCTTTCAGGTTTTTGTTTAGTTGTTGTTTTTTGTCAGAGACAATGTAAATTGGTATGTGTTAACACCTTTGAAACTGCAAGCTCCATATGACATTGCAATCTAGGCTAATTGTTCTATTTGCCTCATCTCCAAAATTTATACCATCTTTGCCCCACGAAGACTAACCTCTTATTAATCCAATAAAATTATTACCCGAGCTGAAGTTTTGTTTCTGTAGCTGGATGACACAGCTGCTTTTTATGTTTGCTAGTTTAAGCCAGATTCCTATGCTGTTATACTTTAATCTTGATTCCAATGGTGAGTTAGCCAAAAGACTACTGCTAATCACTTCTTCATTAGAACACACACACTCACACATTGCTATCTGCTTTAGCCCATAATTCATTCTAGATGGATATGAGAGGATCAGGGTATTCTACTAAACCATTCCTTTAGCTCTTGGATCAGTTAGAGCTGTGCCAGGGAAGGCATATCACCCCCCAGTGCAGCAAGTATTAAATCGGCCCTCACAATACAATCCTTTGTGTGTTCAAATGGATTTAATCCAGAAGAGGAAACTAAGCTTTTTGTGCAAAAAAAAAAAAAGTTCTAAAATATCATTTCTGTTTCTGTGCTTAATGCTATCCGCTGCCCAAAAGGTTTTGGAGCTGCTCTGAAACAATAATTGAATTGCATATTCAGAAGGCAAACACTTCCAATAGAAATACAAATAAAACAAGAAACAGATGGATTTTAACAAATAACGAACAAAGCCTGCATAGTCTAAGAAGCAATTTTTATTTCGTGAAACTGACCATTCTCATTCTCAAATTGCTTTATTTTCAAGGCCCTTCTTAGTTGCCTTTGAGAATAAAAAGATATTGTTAAAACAGTGGTGTGTTGGAATGGAATTGAGTTAACCAGATTTCAAAGTGCTGCTTGGCCACAATCTCTTTGAATTGTTCTGTAAAAGTAATTTTCAGCATTTTAGAACCCAAGGAAGTTTCTTTTTGGAATACAACTCCCATAATCCTCCTGTGAGCATGGTGTCAGGGAGTTATAGTCCAAGAGAGTAGCTTTTTGAAGCACTGAAGTAGTTTTTTTAGATAGATAGATAGATAGATAGATAGATAGATAGATAGATAGATAGATAGATAGATAGATAGATAGATAGATAGATAGATAGATAGATAGATAGATCCTATTTCCCAGCATTCTATCACAATCCACCATGGCCAGAAAATAGTATGAAGCTTATGCAAATGGATGATGTTTAATTCTCCATGGATTGATTAAGCAGCAGGAAGCACATACTGGATAGAGTCCACCTCAGCATGCCTAGCTCTGAATGCATCTTCCCACTTTTTCCCATATAAATCAATAATTGGAAACTTGGTTGCAAGGTCTTTCCCCCCTGCCAGAACCAAATGAGAGTGGTGAATTTCTCCCTCTTGTTTTCCTGTCAATTTTTGGACCTGGCTCTAGCTTTGAAGGATCCCTCAGAAAAGCTGACCTTACTCAAAAGCATTATCGCTGAGCTGTAGCATTGCTCTGGTGAAAACCAAGCAGCTTCCAGATTAAGCTGAAATTGATAAAGGGAAGCTGGTGGGAAACCAAACTTGAAAGAGAGCTTGGTATAATGGTTCAGCACTGGTCCCTGCATGAATACTGATGCTGAGCCCAAACCATCTTCAGCTTCCCTCCGCAAAAAAAAAAGAGAGAGCAACATAAAACACTTTTTGATTTACCTGGCAATACTAAAAACAGCTCTGAGGGTGCAGTAGCATTTTTCATAGTCTCAGACAGGAGATGTAGCCCTCAGGCTGATTTCAAAAGCCTTCTACACTCAGTTCAGTTCTATGGCTTTATATAAAATGACATTTTTCTCAGTGCATTTGGGGGGAATGGGGCCTCTTTTGTCTCTAGCCCTGTTGGCATCAACTCATTGCACTTCTGGCATGTGGTTCCTAATATATTACCTCCAAGACCAAAAGGAAGAGGGTCAGAGCCAGCCAGGTTTGAGAAAGCAGCTCAACTTTAGCCTTGCTTCTGCATGAGTAATCACTTCACTGATTAATGTATTTGGAAGCAAGCAAAGGCCAGTGGAATCATGGACTGAAAGTCTTTCTCCCTTTCCGGCGGGTACCATTCAAACATGTATGGTCTCTAAATGAGTAAAATATGAAGTGCTGCCACCAAGGTCAAAAGGGCCACTTGGTCCTGGCCACACATTCATGGAGGCCTCAAATTTAAAATAAACCAGTTTTTTGTAACCCTGTTCTGTCACTGTCCCAGAAGCCTCAAAACATACAACTAGCCTAACCTTTTTCTGACCTTTGAGACACTCTGACTACCTCCTATGGAACCCAGAACATTTACTTATCTAGCCAAGTATTGTTTGAACAGCAGGCAGAAATAAATAATTTCCAACTCTAATTCCTAAATTAGATATTTCAACTGCTTCTGACCCTATTTATTTATTTATTTATTAAATTTATACCCCGCCCCTCTAGACTATGTCTACCCAGGGTGGCTGATTCATGGTCACCTATGAATTAGTGACCCCCAAAAAGTCCTACCATGAGTAGCCTTACTCAAGTTTTACAAATTAAAGGCCATGCCTTCCTTGCTTGGTTCCATCCATCCCATGCTTGACCTTCCTTTTTTTTTTCCTGTTGCTTTTAGCTTTTTCCAGTATTACTGTCTAATTAAATGAAAACCATATGATGAGACAATCCACTGGAGATACAAGAAATCAAACCTACAGAATCAGACTTTGGAAAAGTATCTCCTGGAATCCCATGGTCAGAATAGCCAATAGCCACATTGGCTGCATGGATAGTTGGGTCCATTATTCCAGAGAACTGACTTTCCCACACTCTGTGCAAACTCTTCTGGAGCTATGACGATTCTTTGCAGTTTTGTCAATAGGTTGTGTGTTTGTGTGTGCATGTGCTAGAAGTGCTGATAGCTCAGTGGTTTAGGTATCTGGCTGTAGAGCAAAAGGCTAGGAGTTCAGTTCCCCACCTGTGTCTCCTTGACAGGGTCTGGACTCAGTGAACCATACGGATATTCCAGCTCTGCAGTTCTAGGATTATGATGACGATGCCTGCATTTTTGCAGGATTAAAAACATACCATCAAACACATTGTAATTCATTGACTTTTATTCAAAAAGATTCTTCCTAAAAACCTAACATTTGCCTAACTACATGAGGTAGTACATGTAGCACAACAAAATAATACTGTGATGCATTTATGAAGAAAATTAGTATGAATTATATTTGGAAAGAAATTATGAAGTTTGAATTATAAAGTTACAAAACCAAGAACATTTTAAAAATATCAGTTTTACAGTGCTACACAATACACCATTCATAGAAAAATGGATAATTGTCACCATTATGTATTTCTTCCCTAATATACCACAATATGGCACTATATGCTTCCCCCCACCCAAATATACCACAATATGGTAGCACTTAATGCACAGGACTGTTTACCATAAATGAGATCAAATGAAATGGCAGAGCACAATAATGAGATAATAATCTTTGGTATCATGCCCTGCAGGAATATATGCCAGATGAAAACATTAAGATCCATTAGGGACTATTTTATACATTTGTTTACAGTGCAAATTCATTATTTACCAATACCATGTAGAACAGTGTTAGGTACTGTGAAGTGCTGTTCCTCCAAACAAGCTCATGCTTGCCTGCATTAGGCTGTTTAACTTCAGTTCTAAAGTTTTAGTCTAATATCTGTCCCAATAATACCAGACATGTTTCTAAGACTTTGAAAATCCTAATATTTAACCATATTTTGCATTTTGTTATGCAAAGAATTACTTAGTATGAGGTTATAGCACCTCAATTTGCCCATTGTGAAGTAATGTAAGGATTACTTACATTAAAAAAAGTAAGGATTGAAAATGGCATAAAGCTGGTGAAATTTCCCATTCCATTAAGTTCTCCATAATGATAGTTGTACAAAATAAAACAGTGTGTATTCTATAATGCCTGTCCACTCATTTCAAAGCACCATGATTTTTTAAATGCAATCAAAAATTCTGTGCCCAGAGGATATAGAGAGATTCCTTTACAGTTAAAGCTAGTGGCTTATACAACACATCACCATCATCATGTAATCAGATTTTTAAGAAACTATGGAGCTTGGAATGAACTGCATAGGAATAAATGCTAAGAAAATATAGCAATATTTAACACAGGATCCAAAATGAGTCATTTATCATCATAGGTTTTCATATAACTTTTCCCATGTTTAATTTTATAGACTTTCCCCATTAAGATTTACATGCACTTAAACACTTTTTCAATCAGGAAACAGTAAATATATTCTGTACAGCAATATTACACTTTTATACAAACTTGAGGAAGTAGATTAAATGTATTTTTCCTCTTCTTCCAAACACTGTGTTTTGATACTCTTCTCATAATTTTCTTGCTTCTCTCAAACCACAGCAAACACTCTGAATGCTTTGCTTCCTGGAGGATTCTGTAAACTGCAGAAGGAAATGGATGTATAACATTTTTCATCCAGATTAGTTTGGAAAGATCCTAATCTTATCAAATACTCTTATTTAAGACATTAATTCACCCTGACACTTAATGCATCTACAGAGGCCTTGTCCTATGTTCACTTGTAAGATTATATGCACGGTTATGTGGAGCATGACCTTTTCAATGGTAGCACCAAAACTGTACAATCTCTCTCTAGAAAGATCTGTCTCACTCTAACCCTGAAATTACAAGTGAAAATAGTTTTTAATGTTATCATTTTATGTTAATTTGTTTGCTAGTTATGAATCTAAACAAATAAATATATCTTTGCAGGTTATGAAATACTTGACTGTTAAGACTAGCTCTCATATATGTTTGCAGCAGTGTCAAATAAACAGGCCCAGTGCTCAGAAAAATAGCCACTTTTCACATGTGGTTACATAGTTCTGGGATTTGTAGCCCAAGAAAGAAGCTTTTAAGATCATTCACAGATCCTGAGTTGTACAGACAGCTTACACAAGAATAGAATTGGATGGACCAAGGAAAGGAAAGGAAAACCAGAGGTGGCCATTCAATCCATTAATCTTTTCTGCAAAGCCCCACAGAGATAGACTGCTCAACTACAGCAATAGGTGCCGCCACCAGAGAGTTTCTGTGAATGGATGGGGAAGGAGAAACAATCTGCAATCCTCCATCGACTCTGGGACCACGGGCATCTCCCCAAATCTGCTCTCCAGAGGGTCAGAGCATCTAAAGTGAAACCCTTTCCACAAAAATAAACAGTCAAAACCTTAGGATTCACCTTCTTCAAACACCATTTCTTTTTGAAATATTGATGGCTTGTTATCTAGGGCCACTCTATTTTGTGGGTCCATTTCAGAGCAATGGTCTACAAAGAACCCTAGGGAACTATCATATGGATACCCTCAAAAGGGGAAGGCTACACTTCCACAAAACGCCCTGCACCTGTTCATCTGAAACTTGGCTGGCAAAATTTTCCCAACTCTAACATGAAATGAATCAAAAAGTCACGAGCAATTCCATTGTTGTTTTTTTTAAAAAAAAAAAACTGAATGTATGTAGCACAAAAACCCTGCCTACCCATCTGCCTATAGTTTGGCAAACTTACTCCCCAGCCCAGCCCAGCCCAGCCTCTGGGCTTCATTCCAGTAAATTTCATTTAGTTCTCACAAAACAAACTATGACTATCTTTGAAGTTTTATTGGCTTAAAAAGTGATCATCTTTATGTAACATGAAGGTACGCTTACATCTGTGTATCAGATACTATACACAGGGAATTGCAATTGCACAAATAAACAACTGTTGCGCCCCCATTATTGTGACTGCTGTGTGATATGCATGTGGACATGCTTTGTGAATTAGCATTTCTGCCTAACAGTGATTTTCCAAACTGATTGTACAACTTCAGGTTGAACACACAGCGCTGTACAACAGGATTTTAGTCAATGAGAGACAGGAATATTCAGAAGTCTTGGTCTCAGTTAAGTTTTCAGAACCAAGTCAAAGAAGATAAATTCCAAATCAGGCTTAGCTGAGACACACACTTTTTCAAAAATGCTGAATCAGGCCAAAAGCAAATCTCGTAGTTGGTGCACCTACCATGTACATATATCCTTTCTTGTCTACCTTAGCAGAATGGAAAATAGCAAAATGGAAAATTAAATTTAAAATACTAAAGGAAATTCTCTTGCCCATTTCTACTGGGGTGTTTGTTACAGGATGAATGAGATTGCTTTTATTCTTAAGAAACTTTCAGGGTGATGGTTTTAGCTTATGGGATACTGGCAATTCCTGTACCCCTCTACTATGGTTACTGTATATAACTCAATCTATTTAATTAGCATTAATTACAGCTCAAGCTGGATGGATAGCTCAGTGAATTAGGTTTCTGGTTGCTCAGCCAGAGGATGAGAGTTCGATTCCCCACTGTGCCTCCTGTGAGAATAGCTAGCTTATGTGGCGTTGGGCAAGCTGCACAGTCCCTAGGGCACCCTCAGCAGAAAGGAATGATAAACCACTTCAGAGAGCTCTCTAGCTAGAACCTCCCCCCCCCCAAAAGGGCACCATAAGTCAAAACTGACTTGTCAGCACATCATCATCATCAATTAAAACTCAACCATTCCAACGTGCAGTGCAGCATTGCAAAGAATGACAAGCATATGCATGTGGACAGTAACATCATGCTTTGTACCTTTCTGAAAAAATGCCATTTTGAAATGAAGCAATGTACATTCTTCTTTTATCTACTGGCATAACATCAACAAAGCCCCCTTCATTCCGAATTACTCCAGCATGAACAGCTGTCCGGCAGATACTAGATATCTGAAGAAAAACATAAGAAAGGATTGTTTGGGAAAATGATACAGTACTGACTTACAGATTAATTTAACGTTTATAATTATTGATTGTATTCGTGTGTCACCATATGCCAGGTCATTCCTGCTTGGGTCCTCCTGCAAGAGGAAGCAGATAAACTAAGTGTGGACATTTTGTCTGTTTTTTGTTTTGCTTTGTATTTGTGACACACAAACCAGGAAATATGGTCTTCTCCGAGACATAGTGTCATAGTGCTTTTCTGTTCATGATTATGACTCTCGCTAGAGAGAAACATGGAAAGTTTCTGGTTCACATGTCATAATGAACAATCCACAGAGAAACCATCTGGAAAATTATGCAGCTCTTTTAAGAAAAAAAGAGAAAGATTTCTTTTAGTCTGAAATTTCTGGCATTACAATCCATTTTTAATTTATCAACACAACCTTTCAACTTTCCAGGATGCTACATCTCGGATTTTGAAGTGGCTACTGTAGAATTTCAAAGGGGTTTTCAAAGGGAAATTCAACAAGAAGACAGCTGAATTGGGATAGATTCCAAAAGTTAGAGACCAGGACTTTTACTACACTGTGTATATTAGTAAGCTGGGTTTCACAAGTTTTTATAATCAAAAACTGTTTCCTGAAAGTAGAATTCATTGTACTTAGCTGCTCTTGCATGTGGTTGGGATGGACTGAAGGGGAGCAATCAAGCACTGAGTAAAAGCCCACTGATTCATTCACAATAAAATAGTATTGTTTAGAATTCCGGCTTATTGTGAAATATAAAGACAACCATTTTTTTAATGTTCATCTTTATGTGTATGTTCATTTATTAATGAAATTTTGCAACTGATCTTGGTAATTAATACAAATTACATGGTAGGGAAATTCTCTTCCACTGAAATTCACAGAAGACTGAGAATGGATTAATTTTTGCCAAATCATGTAATTCTATTGAAGTTAAGGGAGCACATTCATTACAAATAACCCAGTTACTACAGAATACCATACATGTGTGTGTAAGTCTATACCTATGAAAAAGTACATTTATGAATATGCAAATATCTGGAAGTTCTAATATGTTCATTTTTAATTTTAGGGAATTATTATTCTCATCAGTTTTTAAGAATATCATATAATCAATCTTGTGTACATCTTTATTTTAATGAATCAACTTTATTCTGAGCTACTTATGATATGATGATGGCTTAATGGAGAAAATAAGCATTTGGGGGAATGTATCACAAGCAGTGATGTTATATCTTCAATATTGTAGGTTGATGCTTAGTTTTCTCTTAGAGTAAGGCATTTATAGTTCCGCCCAAAGAGGCAAAGCTCACTAACACTGAAAGCTACTGGATAATTAATAATCTGCATTTATGTACTGGAAACTTGCAATATACTTTCCACTTCTCTTACAGGGACACCTTCTTCTCAAACTCTGATCCATGTGATATAGTCGCAAGCATACACAAAGTAGCCTACTGTATTTTCTAAGACTGCATGAACAGTGTTACAAAGCCTTGCTTTACTGCCATACTGTGTGAGCTTTTTGTATTTAACAGGTCATGGAATCTGAATACCAAGCTGCTTAATCATTTTTCATCTTCTGCTACTCAGCAAAATGCCAGATATCTACAACAGCATAGTACTAAAATGCAAAACCAAGTCACCCATTTTTAAAATGTTCTTTTAAGCATTTGTTTCTCCAGACAGTATTTTTTCCCAGTACTGTCAGATGATAATCCTTGCAATTTTTCTTGTTCTACTGTAGGAAATATCAATATGCTTTCATGGAAAGAGACATATAATCTAAAATTAAATCATAACATGGTCTTCAGCTAGCATATAAGCACGTAGCTGAGGATAGATTATTATACTATTGTAAAAAGACATTGCTCACATTTCTGAATAAGCTAATATTGTTAAAATATTATTTAACAAGTGCTTACAAAGACAATAAATGTGCCCTTTCAAAACAAAATTTTGGCAGTAATCAGATCTAGTTTATTTGACTGCTTGCTGTTCCACACTCCTTTTTGGAACCTCAAAGGATCAAGAGGACTTAGAACCACTACTCTTTCAAGCACCAAAACTATGAAATAAACAATGGTTTAAATCCATTGTTTTGCACAACTGATAGGACTCTCAACTCCCACATCCCTCTATACCATCCTAAAATTCAAAGTGGTTTTGACAGCAGATGGGAAAGCATAGAGAGAAGGCAATAAAAACTCTGTGGAGTAAAGCAAGCTGCAAAATTCTGCTCATAAAATCTGGATCACATTCTCAAGTGATAAATTGTTCTAAGCAATTGTTAACAATAACAATTGTTAGTGAACTATAAATAAAAAATATCCAGCAGCACTCAGATAAATCTATCTGTCTAATTCATAAGCCAAAACAAAGAAAACTCAGCCTCTTCTGAGCTAAGTATGTACTTGCTCCTTCCCTACAACATGAGTAAGTGTTCTTTGAAAGGCAGAGGGGCAATTTTTAGATTGGTCAACATTTCATAGGTTGTATTCCCAATTGGCTAACTAGTTCTTAAATTATTTAAATTAATTATCTTTTTACTTTTCCATAAATATATAATTTATAGACTACATAAATAGCCTTTAATAGACTATGGCTGAAATTCAGTTTGCACATCTATGTCTGCTTAAAACCTTTGGGAGCCTAATGATGGAGAGGGAACCTTTAATATTAAAAAAATCACCCCTAGATTGCACCTGGCAGGATCAGGACCACGGACAGTGATTAGGCAGCTTTTTTATGTGGCAACTCATAAGGAGCCTGTCCCTGCAGCCTTTTTTTTCTTTTCTTTTTTTCTAATTTTAGGGTGCTTTATTGATTTTTGAATTGGTGAGACTGGGAGGATGGCAGTAGTCCAACAATGAATTTTTTTTCCTCATGAAGTAAACTTGCCTCTCTGCTTTTTTGGAGTAGTTTTTAAGCGTTCCATGGGGCTTTCGGCATGCCAAAACAAAAGAACCCAAAAGAGTTTTTTCCCATTTCATATCAAACGAAAGAATGTGTGCATTAGAAAAACAAACACAAAAGGTGAACTCACTAAAGAATCCGAAATGAAAGAATCATGGAAACAATAGCCATATGCAAATACACTCAATTTCATTGTGTGCTTTTATGGATTACAGTTCACTTCCCCAGAAAACAATGTTTAGATTTATATACAGAAAATATAAGGTGGAGGGAAGAGTGACCAAGCAAAGTGGGAAACAGATGGTGATTAGAAATGGGGGGTATTTGTATATGAATGTCACCATGGAGCTGGACCTAACAAGTGAGTGGATGGGCTGCAGGGGCTGGCCTGTCCACTCATGTGTCTGGTGGTGGTGGCAGCCTTGCTCATCCTTCCTATCACTCCTGGAGCTCCACTCTCTTCCCGCTCAGCTAGCGACTCAGCAGCCATGCAGGGAGACTCGTCTTTCCTCCCGCTGTCTGGAGTGGCCAGGCAAGCAGGAACAGAGCAAAGCTCCAGGAGTTATTGGAAGGATGAACAAGGCTGCTGCCACCACCGAACGCATGAGTGGATGGGCCGGCTGCAGGGACAGGCTCCTTGTTAAGTCCAGCTGTGCAGAGATATTCGTAAATAACCCCCCATCTCTAGTGGAGATCCTTACATGGGTACTTGGTATTTAGAATGACAATGGCTCATTAACAAGCAAAAAGCTGATCACACAGACATTCTGTCATCAACTATCAAATGGCATGCTGAAGTGGAATTTCATCAAGGTCAGGGTAGTTTAAGATAACATGTACAACTGCTGGTTTGCGCTGGCTTCTTTATCAGCTGAACACGTGTTCGGTGCTTCAAAGCCCCATCTCCTCTGGTGGGTCCTCACTCAGAGGCAGAGCCTGGAGGAGGCAAAGTAGCCAGGCCACTGCCTCCAAGAGGGCGCCTACCAGAGGATGTTGAGCTCTGAAGCTCCGAATACCTGTTCGGCCAATAGATGAACTGGCACAAACCACCAAACTGGCGGTTTGTGCCCATCTTTAGCTACGATTAATTCTGGATTCAGTTTTTCAAGGTTCCTTTTAAATCATCTGCATCTCTAGTGTTCTATCCTAACTGGTGTGCATTGATAAAACACTGCCATTTTGATGCGAATATTCACATAACTGCATCAGAGTTCTTTTTTCACAGCATTACTAATGCATACATGTGCTGCTGCCCTTAGTACAACAACTCAATCTGGATGGAGCCATCTGCTTTCACACGGAACTTGTATTTTTGCAATATTTTATCAATGCCTGCAAACAGATGCAAAGTGGAATGCCACACTCAAATATTTTAGATCCATTCTAGAATTTTTGCTTCTGCACAGTTTTAGAAATCAGTTCATACATGTGCACACATGCCTACATTGCGATGTGCTCATTTCCTTAGTTGAGCACTCTAACAGTAGAGATCAGGCCATGTCTGCTTCAATTTTCCCTGCCAAATGAACCAGAATGGTAATACAGATGACATAGGCTGGTAGCATACAAAGGTGCTTCGTAATATCTTTGCATCGTTTTGTCCAGGGAGAAGCTAAGAAGTAAAAGGTAGTGGGATAGGGAGAGCAGTGCTGATAACAAATGCACGATGCACATTTTCAGGTGTTTGCCTGGACAGTTCAGACGTGTGTGCACAGAAAAATACAGAAGACGATATCAAAACAGAAGCTGATACTGCACAGAATGGAAATGCTAAGGAAAATGATATTCACATGAACATCAAGACTAGAAACTCAGAATGGAACACTCTATTAAAAATGCTCTACTTGTATCAAATATGTTTCACCTTCACACAAGATTCCAATCCTGCCACCCATCCCCTACTAATCCCATGATGTTCTAAAATACTTCTGTCTATCTTTTGGTCAAATATGACTGACATGCTTCAAAGGATGTGTTCATGGAAACAGCATATTTTTTAAAAATGCAGATGTCTGAAATAAAATATTTATCATTTAAATTCATTTAATCAGTGTTATAATGCAAATAGTAATTTATTACCTTCATATCTAGCCAGCTGAACTGGTTCAGAATTGATGAATGTGAACTCAAGCTGAAACCAAAGTGTTTGTGGTTCAACTTTATATCTTTTAAGTGTTTTATACAAATATTAATACTTCTAAATGCAATTATTCTGCACTTCAGACTTAAAAGTATATTATCTTACTTACATCAGAATAAATTTGTGTTCCAATTACTCGGGCATAGTGTGGATTTGCCTGCATGCAATTGTGAGGACAATAGACCCTTAAATAATAGAAAAGAAGAAAACAAAGATGACTATTTCAGATATGAATATTCCATAATATAATAAAAAGACTATTACAGTCAATGAAACAGGAGAGATAAATTGATGAAGTAGTGGGGATTTCACCTGTACTTTTTCATTCATAAAGTTCAGCACATTGTTAGCAACTCAAAGTTTAAAATATACTGAAGTCTAACATAGTAGATAAAGTTTTGGACTACAACTACTCAGACCTGGCTTAGTTATGGGGATAACAATGATAAACGTTTAATATCTGATGTAACTTGAAAACCCTATTAGGGTTGACAAAAGTTGAAAGGAACTTGATAGGACACAACAACATATATTGACTTTTTCAAAAGCCCCGTCCATATTCATGTTACATGCTTTGCACTATCACATAACTAGTCATAGACTCCCTTTCTCTTCATTGCTGAGATGGTAACTGCAGAAAGAATTAGCTGACTTACCTCGGGCAATGTGTGGCTGGCTTGTAAAATGGACATAACTGTTCCACAGTTGTTTCACAAGTGATAGCTTGCACTGAAATGTAGCCCCCCCGAAAAAAAATTATATACAGAAATCATATAAAAAATCATGTTCTCAAGTGGCATACAAAAATAAGTCATTATTATATCATGCAAGTAAACACTAACCTGATACTTTAGAGACAGTGAAGGAATTAGCAGATTGGTATTTGCTGCAATAAAAACATTAAAACTATTAATTATTATAATGTTATTATTACTTGCAGCACAAAGCGATATTTATCTATCTATCTATCTATCTATCTATCTATCTATCTATCTATCTATCTATCTGTCTGTCTGTCTGTCTGTCTGTCTGTCTGTCTATCTATCTATCTATCTATCTATCTATTTATTTATTTATTTAATTGATTGATTGATTAATTAATTAATTAATTTTTACCCGGCCCCTCTAGACAATGTCTACTCGGGGCGGCTTACATAGGTTAAAACAAAACAAGATAACATATAGAAAATTCCATTATTACAATTCATTTTAAATGTTTATATAATACATTTCCAAGATGGCAAGACTCAAAAAAGGAAGAAAAAAGAAAACAATTAATTGACTGGAGGGAAGGCCTGTTTAAATAACCAAGTTTTCAACTGGTTTTTGAAAACACCCAGCGAGGGTGCCAGCCGAATTTCAGTAGGGAAAGTGTTCCACAGCCGAGGGGCGACCGCTGAGAAGGCCCGGTTTCTCGTTTTCTCCTTCCGGGCCTCCATCGGCCTCAGTCCCCTCAGCTGTCCCTGCTGGCTATGTCGGGTGATTCGGGTAGATCT